ACTCATTTATTTACATTACTATCCGAATTTCATCACTTTTTGGCCATATCAATATCAACAGTTGCACCAAATTGCATATTTGTGCATACTAATGTTAAATAAATGTTAATGTTTTACATTTCCTAATGTGGAACATTTTATCCTTTTTGTTCAGCTCATAAGAATGATTAAAATAATTGGATATATGTGTATAGTTTTGACATCTTGAACTACAAAATAAAAATTTATTTGATCTTGCAACTAATTAAAAAACTAACACCAACTCTCACACAGCTTTTTAAAAAAGCCTAAAAGTGTTTTGCATTAAAGGTGGACTGGGCACTAGAGATTTTTCCAAGATGAGAGCTTATTTGAAATAATATTAGAAATAAGAGCATCAAAGCACTCGGTATTCAACAGACTGAAGGAGTTCATGAGGAGGAGACGTCTCCCCAATCTATACAAACTGGGTACAAACACATTCAGTCTGGACACTTTTGGACACATAAAACGTCTAAATGTCATTGGACTAGTTGTGTCAGCATAAAATAGTAAGGTATAAATCCACTGTTAAGGGCATCATAATTTCTGGAGTTTTGTGGCTAAAGCCTTGAATATAATTTTTCTATGTCAAAACCATGACAGTTTTTTCTTATAATAGAGAATTTTTGTCAAGTTTTCTTGCTTTCTGTACTCTTGCCGAAAGAGAAACTAGTTAGAAATAAGGAGTGCTCTGTAACACAGATGGATTCATTTGTGTACAGTGTCTGTTTACATGGTCCAAACTGCCCACTACTCCAGTCTGTGTCGCTTTCTGTCTGTGTTGAGTCAGTTATTTGCTGGTTGTGCTGTCACTGTGAGTAACTGTAATGCTCTCCTGTGCTTATCACCCAAAATGCATTGCATTTAAGGCCATATACTCGAATATGCATTCAATAAGCATATGCAACAAATGTGCAGCACCTGAAATATACACAATATAAAATGCATAAATAAAATGAAACATGCCTTATAGGTGTTACTTAAAACTGATTTATTGGAAATAAGTAGTTTATTTTAAAAAAAAATACAGAAGAATTTAAGATAAAACATGTTTGTCCTGCAGCAGGCAACACATTTAAAAAATATTTTATACAGAAATGTCCTAGTTTTTATTCATACAGTACATATATGTATGTTTGTATATGTATGTAAGCATGCTTGCATTTACTTATGCATTTGTGTGTGTGTGTGTGTGTGTGTGTGTGTGTGTGTGCGCGCATGGGATAAGTGTGGAAAGTTTGCTTTATTATAGTTTGGGAATACCCGTTGACATCTTCATTTAGGAAAAACAATTAAATAAATAAAGTAATTAATGTTTTAACATGTTAATCTGGTGTGATTAATCACAGGAAAAAATAACACTCTAAAATTATTAATGCATATAATGCACCAGCTGGACTTTTTATCTGACAATTCAGACTTTTATTCTTGCAATTCTGAGTTTATATCTCACAATTCAGTCTTTTTTTCCACGCCTTTTTTCTTTCTTTCAGAATTGCAAGATATAAAGTTAGAACTCTAAAACATAAAGTCAGAATTGTGAGGCATAACTTCAAAACTGCATGACAGAACCTTACAACTACGAGGGAAAAAAAATTCTGGATTGTGAGATAAAAAGTTGCAATTGCCTTTTTTATATACTGAAAAAAAAATTTATGAAAGGAAAGGCACAGAGAGTATTTAATACGCAGTGGAGCGGATCCCTCAAAAACTTCCCCAAGGGTCTCTGCTGGTCAGAGAAAAGGGTAGAGAGACCCCTGGAGAGCGTGTTTTTCAACTTAGAGATTGAAATGTGAGAAGGATTTTAATGAGGAGGGAGAAAAGTGACCTGAGAGATGTTCTACCACTGCATAGATCTGTCTCTCCACATGAACTGCATATATGGACTGCGGTGGCAGAGCAACAAATGCAAAGAGGCAATTGTCTGTGGCAGTTCCTGACATTAACACAAGCTGGCAGCTCAGACATTGAGCCACTGTGGTATTCCCACTAAGCAGGCATGGAGGGAGCCAGCAGCCTGATTGATCAGACCTTAATGAAGAGTCAGTCAAACCCTGTAACATCATTAGCTGCTGCTGGAACGCTCAGGCCTTGACCAGGATAAAAACTGACAGTGGACTGTAGGTGTACTTGACAGGCCAAAGTGACACCACCTGCCGATACACAACCTGATCCTGGATGCTGGTAGATTGATGGGGAAACATCAGGACTACAGGTAAACTTTTACTTTTACTTTTACTTTTATTAATTTAGCAGACGCTTTTATCCAAAGCGACTTACAAATAAGAAAAAGTAATTAAAACTAAAAGCTAAAAGTCTATAAATACTATATATATACACATTTAAGAAAATAAAAGAAATTAAATAAAAATGACAAATGCATACAACAACATTTCAAAACTAAACATTTAAATGAAAACAAAAAATAAAGCTAAAAAACAAAAACAAACAAAGGAAACAAAAACCTTTGTTTTAAAGGTAAACAAGAGACCTTTGAAACATGGCTTTGTTCCTTCAGTTGTTTTCATGCACAATGTAGGGCGTGATGAAAAAAGGTGGAAGTGTCACAACAAAATACAAAGGAGATGCATCTATCTATCTATCTATATATCTATCTCTATCTGTCTGTCTGTCTATCTATCTATCTATGTATCTATGAACCATTATTATAATTAAGCACTAATCAAGCATATAATCAAGCACCAATAATTGACAATAATTGAGCACTAAATCAGCATTTATTTTAGCATTTAGCTTTTCATCACAGAAATAAATTACATTTTACAATATATTCACATAGAAAACAAAGTGTGAAAGTGTGGGGTGAGAGTGCAAGGCCAAAGGAAGAACTCGGTGTTGGCAAGCTTTTGCCCCCAAAAGCAAACCTCAGGAACTTCCTGTGATGAGGAAGGATGGAGACATGTGTATCTTTTAGATCGATCGTGCCAAACCAGTCCTCAGACTTGATCTGAGACACGACTTGTTTGAGTGCGGGCGTGCTGAACTTCAGTCGCCTGACTGAGCGGTTCAAATGACTCAGATCTAAAATAGGACGCCACCCTCTATCCTTCCTCGGAATGGTGAAGTACCGACTGTAAAACCCGGACTCTGCTACGTGAGGAGGGACCATCTCGAAGGCCTCCTTCCTCAAAAGAGTAACTACTTCTGTTCCATGACCATCAAATGCAATCAAACAACCAGATGAGTAAACACGGTCTGGTGTGATAAGATTCATATAAAAAATTGAAAATTATATATCTAACTTCTCATAGTCAGATAAATACTTAATTTAATTCCTCAGAATTAAATGCAGCCAAACAACCAGACGAGTAAACACGATCAGGTGTGATAAGCTTCATATCAAAAATCGAAAATGATATATATAACGTTGCCTCTGGCCACTTGGTCACACAAACAACATCAATCTCCTCAGAAAAAAATAGCCGCAGCGGCGAGCTCTTGTTCAGCGGGAAGAAGCACAATCAGCCCCTTATTTCCGAGAGCTGACTGCACGAGCTCCACTCCCCAGTAAATGCTGCTCATAATAGTATAGACATAATGCTTGTGCGACTGTAAAACAGCTCAGCTCCACAGTAAAGCTGCTCATTATAATATAAGGCATAATATGCTTGTGTAACTGATGCTTGTGCATCTGGCGAGCTCATCGACGCAGGTGCTTTTATGCTTCCTATATATATATATTTCAGTTTTTGCAAATAATCATCTTAAGTTCATATCCTAGTTTCCAATAAGAATTTTCCAATTCTGAAATTTCAATAACTGGTTTGGCAGTCTCCAGCACCTCCTGAGGGAAGACACAATATGCTCACCATGGGATCTCCCTCAAACTACACACTCTGTTTTCATTTGCACCATACCATGTGACCTGTTCCTATATTTTCATCCTGATACATTAGAGCCATTATGAGGTGACTTTCATGAAAAGCCATTAATTTATTAAGACTCAGAAGCCAGTTGAGTTCTCTCAGAATAAGTAATACACCTGGTTTTAGTATGAAAAAAAGACAGCCGCATACAGCCTTTTTGTCCAATTTCTACAGTTATACCAAGTTTGGAACCAGAGTAACATCCATTAATGCAAATGTAAAAGAGCTATTTAACCATCAGTGTTGCCAGTAATTGCAGCACCCGTACAAAAGACTGCTAAAAGCTCCAACTGCCTTTGAAATCCAGAAATACACGATGGCTTGCTCTCTAATGTTATGTCACTGGAGTGTTCATATTGAGAGTAAATAGTCTTCTGCTATTTATATATTTATGTAGTATTCTGTTAGTCACACATAATAATGTGCCATATTTTGTTCATTGCATTATTTTAAAAAAGGTGCACAATGCAAGTATCTATCTATCTATCTATCTATCTATTTATCTATCTATCCATCCATCCATCCATCCATCCATCCATCCATCCATTCACCCACCCATCCATCCATCCATCAGAAGTTAGAAGCTTAGAAGCATTAGAAGCTTTCTTCAATTATAAAACATTGCGAAACTTAAACCTTTTCTGTCTGTTAATGATTCTGGCTTTTATTACTGTAAAGCACTTTGTCCAACATGTGTTAAATGTGATATAAATGTGATTGATTGACTGTCTGTCTGACTGATTGACTGACTGACTGAAAATGTTATAAGAGATTTCAATTTCAAATAAAGTTTTTATTTTCCACAAAAATATTAAGTAGCACAACAGTTTTCAACATTGATAACAAAAATAAATGGTTCTTGAGCAGCAAATCAGCATATAGAATGATTTCTGAAGGATTATGTGACACTGAAGATTGAGGTAATGATGCTGAAAATTCAGCTTTGCATCACAGGAATACATTATCTTTTTTTTTTTTTTTTTATAGAAATCAGTTTTTTAAAGTTGTGCATTTTTACATTTGTAATACGATTTCACAATATTGCTGTTTTTACTGTATTTTTATCAAATAAATACAGTTGTGAGTACTTACCTTGAGGAATGACAGGTTGCGGTTTCTTTCAATACTGGTGATCTCCAGATTACCCATGACCACCTCACAGTTCTCGTAGAACTTGCGAAGAGTTTTGTACTGCTGGTCCAAATCTGACAGCGTGCTGAGCTTGTTATCAGTGCCAGGACACACTATAGAGGAGAAAAAAAGAGAGATTGATCAGACCACTAAAACGGTTTTGCACCAGCAGTTCATTGAGTGGAAATATATACAGTTTGCAGTATATTGCCAAAATAAGAGAGGGATCATACAAAATGCATGCTCTTTTTTTTATTTAGTACTGACCTGAATAAGATATTTCACATAAATAATAGTTGAATAGTAGCTTTTTTTTTATTATTATTATTATTGTTTGTTTGATTTGTGATAGCTGTTCAATAGTCCCTTGTTTGTCCTGAATGGTTTTTGGTTTTCCAGCATCTTTTGCATATTTGAACCCTTTCCAACAATGACTGTATGATTTTGAGATCAATTTTTTAGAAAAAAAAAAAAGCTGTGGATCATCCAAGTAACAACACAGTATTAAGAATCAGGCCTACATAAACTTTTGAACGGGGTCATTTTTATGAAATTCAACTATTATTTTCTCTTGTGGACAATATATAAACATCTTTTATGTGAAATATCTTATTCAGGTCAGTATTCAATAAAAAAAAATAACATGCATTTTGTATGATCCCTCTTATTTTGGTAAAATAATTATATCATATATATGAACAAGTTGTGAAGCTGGCTTCATCAATATGTCATTATAACCTGTTTCTGAAAACTGACCAGCTCGGCTCTTGCCTCTATATGAAGACAAATGAGAGCTGGAGAGGACAATTCCCTAACATCCTCTATTAGATCACGGACCTGTGGAACCATGACCACAAACAGGGATTTGTTCAACAGGCTTAGCGAATAACAGAAACTCCAGTCGATAGCGTGGAGTTATAATGTGGGAGGCCACCGGGCTGATGGTGATCGTGATGCTTCTGAAGTGGAGGCAGGAGTAATAAACAGTTATTGAACCCCGGAGGGCGGCTGTTTCTCTACATTACAGCAAGCTATATTACGGCCCACCGCCTGCAGAGCGAACCACTCCATATTATTGTTGTGGACAAATTACACCCTTCCCCGCTAAATGCATTCACTGTCACAGTTAGGTAGTCCCGGAAGACATGGCAGTGCCATGGTGTATACAGAGCGAAGATTTAGAGCTCTGCTGGACAAATGGAGAATAAATTCCCTTATTGAATATGCCATATATCTACTTGGTTGAGAAAAGCAGCTGGTGAGGAGAACAATGAGCCATCCGATACCATGTTTCTCACAAATAGAGATTTCCTCTGTGCTGGAGTTTTGTTTTTTTTTTCTGAGAAATCGCACTAGAAAGGAAAATGTAAGATGTTGATCTTTTTTTCCCCAACCTTTCCTTCTACTTTTTTTTTCTCTCTCAGTGACATTGCTTAAATGTAGAGACTGAGGCAATAAAAAAATAAAAAAAACTTAAATCGCAAAGAGTGTCCCACTTTCACTTTTCACCGGGGTTTAACACACTGAACACAAATGGTATGTAGTAAGATTAAAGGTGCGGATAAAGTACCGACACCCGACATCTTTTACCTACTTTTAAAAAAAGGCATCCTAGAAACATTTCTGTTGGTAAATTTCAATTTAGATAAAAGCTTTTAAATGTGGAAGTCAATTTTTGCCTCAGGGTAAAAAAATAAATAAAGGTAACTGTGAGAAAGTTTAAAATAAAGGTCCATTTTTTTTTTCTTTTTATCTTTTAATTTCGTTTAATCTTTTTGTTCCTGTGGCTCAGTGGTAGAGCATTTTGTTAACAGCGCAAAAGGTTGTGGGTTCGATTCCCAGGGAACACACATACTGGTAAAAAATGTATAACCTGAATGCACTGTAAGTCGCTTTGGATAAAAAAAGTCGGCTAAATGCATAAATTATTTATTTAATTATTATTTATTTATTATTATTTTCAGAGATGAAAACCGACTTCCAAAGTTTGAAAATATGCAAGCTGATGGTTTGCATGACTTCAATTCGATTTCTGCACCAGTGTTAATATCAATAACAAAAACTAAAACTGTTAAAATTGTTTTCATCAATTGAATTAAAGCTGGAATCAATTAGATTATTAGATTTAAAAAAAAAACTTTTGCCATGGCAACTAACTCAAATAAAATAAGTTACTAAAACTGAAATAAAATGAATTAAAGCTAACTAGATATATTTAAAATATAAAAAATAGTAATGACAAACCCAAACAGTAACACATACAGTAAAATTACTAAAACTAAAACTACAATGAAAATCGAACATATAAGAATAAACATAAATTCATTAATATTAATAAATACTGTAATAGTGAATAATAATAAATAATACTAAAATAACACTGTTGTGTACATCACTTATATCAGAGAGAGTCAGTTTATCATTCTTTTTTTTTTATTATGTTGCAGTTCCTAAAGTTACCGGATAACTAATGTGTTTTATTTACTCGCCAAAGCCAACATTTACACACATTTGACAATTGCCGAGAATTGTTACATTATACAGCATGTTACAGAATTAAATCAGTAAGGCCTCAACAATCTTGGCCTTCAACTTTTAGTGCTCTGAGCTTTTACTTTACTATAGCTTAGAGGCAAACGTGTTTCAAATGAAATGTTCAATATAAGGGAGACTGATGTGCTTAAAATCGAAGAATGATAAATGAGAATGTGTCCTTTTGCTCCCTGCTCACACTGACCCAATAATCCATGATCATTTCTGACGCTAGGGGATTCCTTTCCATACTTCAATGGCATTTTTGAACAGAAACTGAGCCCTTAATTTAGAGACTTGAAAAGCCCACATCAGAACTTCAGGATATGGGATTCAGGCAGGATCAATGGAGTGACAGATCACCACATTAACACCCATCCCGCTATTTCACACACTTATCATTCTTGACTCTGTAAACCCAAGCTCCTAGGGCGCTGATGTGCAACACATTTGTTCATCACATTTGCCTCAATGAGATATCTGCACTTTTCAGGTCTCCCAAATGTTTATGTTTTCATCCATGTTCTTAGTATGTTTTCATTGCAAATTTTAACAGTTTATTGGCCTATGTACTGTAATCAACCAACTAACTAACTAACCTACTACGTTTTTATTTTAAGTCTTTTAATAACAAAATGTTTATTTACAGTAACAGTCTGGCAAAAATATATTGCCATCTTGAACAGAATAAAGTAACAATATGAACAATTATTTAATTATCGCAAATTAGATGCATAAAAAATGCTGACTTTAATTGAACACTTAATTTACACAATATTTTCTCAAAATATAATAAAACATATTTGAAAACCGAAAATGTAGACATTTCTGTGCAGGCTATTGGAAGATTTTGGAAATGACATTAGGAAGAATGACCACTTCTGCCATAAAAAAAAAAAAAGATAATTGCAACTTTTTATTTCACAATTCAGACTTTTCTTCTCAAAATTGCAAGTTTATACCTCATAATTGCAAGATAACATCTTGCAATTCTGATTTTTTTCCCCTCAAAATTGCTTTTGTTTTTACTGTTTATATCTATATAGCCATTTATATCGCAGTTTAAAATGGCAAAGTCTCACAACTGTTACTCACAACTGTTACTCACAAAGCTACTTTCACGCAAGAAAAAAAAAATTTAACTGTGAGATATAAACTCTGGTTTGAAAAACTGGATTGAAATTATGTTCACTTTCTCAGTAAATCTTTATATTTGTGAATATAGTATGGGAATAATCAATACTATTTTGATACATTGATTTATGAATATATTTATGTGCAGTTTAATTCATTTAACATATATATTTATTTTTTACATTTTACTGAATGATGAAACTAATATTAATGCAACTATGATAGTGTAAATATTAATCGATATGCTACAGTAAATGTTCAAATAATTGAACCAATTTATGATATTCAGCAAAAACAACAAAATCTTGTAATTGTGCCATCTCTGCAACAAAATTTCCTCCTCAGTCCAACTATGAGTATAAGGGAACAGGCTGTTTTTCCGGAATGTTGGCGATCATTTAACGGCTCAGAGATTGGCCAATGAAATTGCAGCAGTCCCTCATCCATCATTAGCTGACGGGGTCAGAGTGAGCCGCCCTCTCCTCATGCTAAAAACTCCAGTCTGCCCTGAATCATCATTCTCTATCACAAACCTTAATATATGCCATTGATTAAACCAATATCAGCAAGTGACACCAACCCCATTTGGCTATAAGGACATCTATGATGATTTTGGACACAGCTTTCTCTCTCGGTGAGAAAATCATACAGTATAATTCTTAAGATTTCACTTAAAGGATATCTAGGTAATGTTTTGCATCTTAAAATAGCCCTATCATAGCCTAAAATGCAGATCACAACAAAAATCGAGACCCAAATTTGATCCTTTAAGAATGACGCTGAAGACCTGATCAGAGTTTGCTGCCTTTTTAATGAGATGAACCTTAGTTCTCACATTCTGAATCAACAACAATTTGCTTAAACTGCAAAAAGAAGGCTGTAAATAGCAGAAATATGGCATGAAGTGGACATTGCATGATGCAGTCGTCCAATATATAACCAGGTGACTATAAATCAGATTCATGCTGTAATCCATATTCTTATTAAGAGTCACAGTTGCTGAATGTAATATAGTAAAAGTCATATCTCAGGTGAACGGCTATTGTAGGAGGTCACTGAAGCATGCAAACCATGTTGGGAGTAGAATTATGTTCCCAATCCATCAAACTTGGGATCTACCGATGGCATTTTGCTGCTGGGATGAAGTATACGAAGCAACAAATCTACAAAGAAGCGTAGGTAGGTATGGCAGTGTTGTGCACATGACAGGGAACATTCGGTTGAGCAATGTGACGGAAATTGATGTTTGTAATAGACATAATCATGCATCTGCATTCCAGGCTTCCGAATGTAATGTGTTCCCATTGCAGTTAGGCTGTTCATATCAAAATTGACCGTAATATCCCCAGCGATGAGCAGGCAGTTTGATGGTTTCCTCTTGGAAATGAACTCTGTCAAGTGCAATAACATGAATCAGCGTGTGAAGTGCAGAAAGAAGACACATCCC